CCCCCCCCACTGACGAATTCTTAAAAAATGCCTTGAAACAAGGCCAGGAAAACTTTGTTCGCTATAAACGCGTAAGTTAAAACTACAATTGTCTCGAGCATTTTTATGTAAATTATTAATAAGTAATGGCATGGTTTCTCGTGAAATTTGGATAAACATGCACTCGTGAGTTTTTCAAAGACCTCAAATAGCACTCGTCCTTCGGACTCGTGCTATTTTGAGGTCTTTGAAAAACTCACTCGTGCATGTTATATCCAAATTGCACTCGAAACCATGCTATTACCTATACTTACCTGTAAGCTACTGGCCAATCAGAAAACACGTAGTGACTACAGTGTATAATAATAGCTAATAAGTATTTACCTGTGTTACTCCCAGGATAAAATCCATGTGCCAGAGTGCCTCCTCTGCCATCGAATGCGTAGAAGTCACCATGGTTGCCAACGCCAAATTTGATAATTAAATCCGCATTGTTGTCATTATCTGCCAAACGTCGAAACGTTAGTTTGCTCACATCTTTCCACATCTTGAATGATTTTGCCATGGTCACTCGAACTGTCCCTGATGAGATCTTCGCACGCGGCTGTGGACTACCATGCACACTCCATGATAAATCCTTGAAACGCAAATATAAGCATGCTTCAAATTCAGACAACTATTTGCTCATGTTACAAAGACAATCGAAATTGTGCAAATCATGGGTAAAAATAAAAAGCGCTATTTGAACTACACGCGAGCCTCACAATCCAAGTCGTTAAGCGGTTTTCCATGCGTATGTAAACACAAGAAAAAGTTTAAATCTTCCTAAATTTTATTTAAATAGTAATTACCTCAACAAATGCGCAATAAATCATTCGACCAAATGATGTCCTTTTATTCACTTAGTTATTTCATAAGACACTTTAGGGGATTTAAATTTTTCCGTGCTTATACGTGTGTATCAGTGGGAAAACGCCTCAGCAAGGACCCTTCGTCTGGAGGGTAGAAGGAAGATATGGATGAAACGGGTTGCATATAGGAAAATTACAAAAGGCAGTCACGTTTAGCTTTTTTCACGCGACCGGCTTTGTATAGTTTTCCTATCATAAGTAACGTGCTTCGTTTGCTCTAATAAAGAAATCATTAAAATTATTTGTAAATAACAATGAAGTATAGTCATGGTTTTAGGGAGAATAGACTTATGTTGAAAATATGCGTGTAATATCTCAAAGGGGGATAATTTGATGGCTTTCATGGATTTTCTTCAACCTTTATCTTTTTCCATAATGATGGACATTATACTGTTTTTTGTTCTTTTAATTGTCCCATAAAATGTTCTTTTAATATTCCATAAAAGGTGCTGTAGAGTAGTTTCACTAAGTTACATTAACCGGACCATGTCTTTCATTTTCAGTTGCCGCAAACACACAACGCCATCAACCTCGTACCCAGGCTATTTTCTCTCATACTCGGTGCGACGCCATATGATAAAAAAAGTTACTGACCTCGACTATTTGGGCAGTACATGAAAACTTCAAAACTCGGTTCGACCTCGGTTTGATATTTTCCCGCACAGCCCTGACTCTCTGACAGTAAGTTAGTAATATTTCTCTTTGATCTTAAGTCATGCAATCACAGACGTATCCTTAACCCTACTGTGTATGAACTGAAAAAATACGGGAAATAACTGAGGAAATAACCACATAAAAACGAAGTCATTGGCCAAGATAAAAGGGCAATAAATAGCCAGTACAGTTTATTGACATTTTTTGTTGCAAAAATGCGTAATATGTCTTTGAGATTATATAAAATCACGATATAAAATATAAAACAATGCGGTTCCAAAAATATAACAACATTACCATTTTTTTCCATGTACTACCCTGTTTTACATAACGCTTCAAACGAGATGGAGTCTTTTCAGTGTCTCTTGCCCCACACCGTGGACCAGTAAGCATTGCAACCGTTGCTTCATCCATTACACCTGTTACAGGTAGTTTTGCATACGCCTGAAACTCCCCGATAGCGTTTTTCCTTTTATCCGGTGGTGGCGTGCCATCAAATCTTGCCATATAGCCATATCTCGTAAGGTATTGGTCAGCCTAAGAATTTCGTAAATATAAAAGCCAACTCAAGTGGTATATGAATTTACTTTAATGTATATTTTATTATGTTAACGTATAGAAGAGTTCCTTATATAAGGTTAACCACTGGCTTCTCCTGCAAGGCCTTTGTGTGCAAACATCATTGTACCTTGAATAAATTGATTGATTGATTATTGATTACACTCTAAAAACACCCTGCCTAAAAATTTCCTGGTTGATCTAAAATTAACACTGTTTGGGTAACGTATAATCAGTCCTGGTTAATTCGATCATAGTCCAGGCTAATCTAACCAGAAAGCCTAGTTAATTTAACCAGGCTATAAGGTGGAACTAACCAGCAAGATTATGTTATAGGTGAACTATATACTAACCAGGAATTCCTGTCTAAGAATCCATCTAACATAATCTGGTTAAATAACCTGGTTAATTCAACAGTATACAGGGTGTATCAAAATAAACGCAATTCATGCATCTTTTGTGCTTAATAACTTTCGAAATACTATTTCTAGTTAAACGCTTTTAGGCTTACTTCAAAGCCTGTTCTTTTCTCTTTCAAACAAACTATTATCCTTGTCTCCAATGCTAGTAATAATTGCACAGGAAAAGATTTAGTAAAACCTATCATTTTTAGTTGCTGTTTAATTATGCAAGTTTACTATGTTATTGTTTAGTCGGTTTAAATGTTAGAATTTTCTTCTTTAAACTTTAATGTTGTCGTCACTACATCTGGAAAACCACGTAAGAACAAATTAAAAGTATTTTAAAAGAGACCAGGTTGTTTGAAAATCCTAAACGAATGCTAAAAATCGTCAAAACATTCTGGTGTCTGAGCCAGAGTGTCGTCGAATTGCGATGTAATGTAAACAGAAATTATAGCAAGTTGATGTCAGTCAGCTTAGATGGTCCAAGCCAAAATTATATCGCATTCGAAGTTTCAAACTGAGTTAAAAATAGTGGAAGAAAAGCCGTAATTATACTTATTGTTACAATCCATTTAATAAAATGCAACATTTGTTTGTTTTAATAAAAAAATCAGTTATTTTCATGAGAACGATTTGTTATTCCATCTCAATTTTTTTAATCTCCAATCGCAATAACGTAAAGTATTATTACCCGCGAACCAATGAGTCAAATTTAAGAAACAACCCACTGTTAGAAAGCTGAATGGCTACGCTTTAAAATGAATGTAAACTTTAACGTTTTCGTCTATTATTTGTTTAGCAATTTACATTTCAGTCGAGGATTGCGCTTTTTTTGATACACCCTGTATATAACAGTATATACCTGGTTATATATAAATAGACAACTTGCATGTTAGACTAATTTTTGATCGAGGCAAAAAGTAAAAGAACTATTAAAATTAGTAAAATGCAAAATTTGGTTACGAAATGTTGTAAAATATGGAATATATATCCTTGCGAAATTTGCCTATTTTGTATATATTAAATTACGTGCGGAAATTGTTACCCATTTTAAAGCCGAAAATGCATGGTAACAATTTCCGCACGTAATACAAACATATAGAAAATTTGCAAACTTTGCAAGGCTATATATATTTTCCAAGCTTTAAATTACAACATTTCTCAATCAGATTTTGCAATTTTACTAAATAAATTTCATTGTGTTCTTTTTAGCTGTATAGTGTTTGATTCCCTTCTCTTCACTTAGATTAAAATTTAGTCTAACATACATACAAGTTGTTCATTAGCCATGCAGGAATCTTGATTAAATCAGCCACGATAGTGAAAAATTAATCTGGACTGAGGTTAAATTACCAAGAAATTTAACCAGGTACATTACGTTACCCCAAACAGTGTTAATTTTAGACTAACCAGAAAATTTTTAACCATGAAAAGTTAGATGGAAATCTGAGTAGCCGAAAAACTCGTCCTAACTTTGCGTTTAGACCATAAGTTAAACGTGTAAACAACGGTCTACACAGAGATAACTGCATGGAACTATAAATTACGAGAGGGGATGCAAATGGTGTCGAATCGTCGAATCGTCGTGGTATCAAAAGTTAAGCGAAACAAATTTGAACTGACGAAGATACAATTGCAACATTTACACAATTAATTTTTGGGTTCTTCATCTGATTGCATAAAGCGTCCTCGCACTAACATATTAACATGTTGCAGAGGTTTGAATTGAACCACTACATTGTCTTCGAAAATTCTCAAACACGTTTTAGGAATGCTGTACTCTAGGTACGGACATAGATAAACGCCATTTTGAATTATAATAAGTTATTCAAAATGACGTTTTTCTAAAACTACAGCATACCTAAACCCCAGTCCACTACCATGATACCTCTTGGCCCTACCTTTGTTGGCCGTTGGCCAGGGGCGTCTGAACCGGGGAGGGGCACTGGGGGCACGTGCCCCCTCCCCCAATTTTTTCAAAGGACCAAAAGTGCCCTTTTTGTGATGAAAAGTGCTATTTTTGTACAAGCTACTGTAATGTCGCTGTAAATACTAAATTAACATCAAAGGTGCCCTTTTTGTTTGGAAATTTCGATGTTTTTTAAAAAAAATAACAAAACAAACCATTATTGTGTCAGTGACAAAAAGTAAATTTACCACTCTGGTGTTGTAGCAACTCTGACAATGAGCTCATAACGGGCAAATGATCGCGATTGAGCTAATTAAAGAAGTTACATGCACTACCACGAACCATGGTTTCGTGCGTTGGCCGCACATAAATCTTCCATGCTGAATTAGACCAGGAGTCTTGACATAAATAAGAACACATTTCTGACATGTATAGTATGGTATCGAGTGCAAATTGGAAAACATGCAAGAGTGAATTTTTCAAAGACCATCGGAACAATTTAAAGTCTTTGAAAAACTCACAAGTGTATGTTTTTCCAAATTGCTCGAGAAACCATGCTATTACCTATTAATATGAAAATATATACATGAAAAATAGATACATGAAAAATATACATGAAAAAAATTAATTATGCAGTCATGTCTGTGTGCACGTCACATACGAAATAGATAATTTTAATTTAACATAAAAAATTGATTAGAGAATCTACTAAAAACGCCAGCCATATTTTGTCACTCGTAATTGTTTGGTTTCTTGTATTATTTTCACTTTTTGCACTGCATTTCTTTTTTGGCACTGTATTTCACTTTTTGGCAATGTATTTCGAAAAAATTGCACTGCTCTTAGCCAATCGGCAGAATTGAGAATTTTTTTATGTATATTATTAATCACGTAATCGAACCGACTTAACCTTCTATATGCATAACGGCGTACGAAACAGGGGAGCAGGGGGGACAACTGAGAAAAAATTTTTTACTGGTTACAAATCCAAACGAAACAAGACTAACTAACTGTTCTTTTGTCACGTCCACGTACTAGATTCAGCTCATCTTAAGCTCCCTACCTTTCCCGGTGTGCAAATCACACGGCGTGGCGTCATCTAAAATAATTTTAGTTTTTTGAATTATGTTTTTTAAAATATAATATTTATAATTACCGTGAGCTTCTTCGCAGGACTTGGAGCAGTACTGCAATATGTTCTCTGATATACCATCAGCAAGCTCATAGCAAGAAGCAAAATATCCTAAATACAAAACAAGGAAAATAACCGTATAAATACACGATGGTGGAAGTTATATAAATATTACGCCGCTGAAAACATGTCAGTGATGAAAAAGGTGGATGGGCAAAGACACGACATTTAGACATTTACTTATTCGCAATGGTTCGTTCCGATAGACCCAGTCTGATATTATGTTACTGACAAAACATCACGTGAAATTATTCCTAAAGGCTAGTTTCCACGCTTTCCAAAATTATCCGTGGATTGGAACGGACAACAACATTTTTCTTTTTGTTAAAGTCATTAGTTCCAACCCAGAGCTCACAAGACAAAGAAAATTTTCTTACGTCCGTTCCAATCCACAGATAATTTTCCTGAGTGGAAACTAACCTTAAATCGTATATATATGTTTGGTTTGATAATATATTCCCAACCCAACGATATATTCGTTGTCTCTTGTCCTGCATTTCAACTTTACTCCAAATCCTCGTACACTTTCACAAACGTCCTTCCACATTTTGTGAAATCTATACAATCCCAAAATTCTTACTAAAATCACAGAAAAAGTAATGACTAAAATCATGTGGGAAATCGGCAAATTCACTATGTACCTGCATGCATGGAATAAAACTGGTACATATCGGTCAAGACCGGAAAGCAAAATTAGTTCGAGATAGCCAGGAGTTCGAGTTAACCAATTTCGAGATAACTGAGTAAAAATGATAAAAATAGTATTGGACACATCTCTTAGGCAATGGGTTTAAATTTGACCTACAATCTTTGCCAAAAATTATGGGACATACGCTGTAATTTCACACAATTTGAAAGGCGTAGCACCCTCCGTTTCTCCAGTTCAATGTTGGGATCACAAAAATCTGATATCCGCTTGTTTCAAGACGCCAATATTGAAACGGGTGGGGAGTGGGGAGGGAGGTGGGACAAATGTATCAAGAAATGGTATGATTTGTTTGAGTGCAGTTGTCCAATGTATATTGTTGCCAAAGGTTGCAGTATAGGCACACATTTCGATTTATATTTAGATCCTTGGTATATATAAAAAATCCCTGCGGTTTTAACGTCATACCAATAACGATTAGGTGAAAATATTCTGATCTTTACACTAAAATATGCCCATGATCAGCAATAATCGTTGAAAAAAATAGACTTAATCATGCATTAGCAAATATTTATTGTTTTTGCCACTAGCAGAACCACTTGAAATCAAGTTTTTAAAATCAATGACATTCAGGGCGACGAGAGAGGAAAGAAGACAAGGATAGCCAGAATCCAAAGTCTCTAAAACTTTTTTGCTGAAAAGTTATTTGATCAGCAATTTCAGTATACCTTTCGGCTAAGCTTTCCCTTGTATTGTTATACGGCTTTAACTTGTTTATAATGATTCGTGGACCTCGTGGACCTCTTGTCTTCTTCTCGATCCTTCCTCCTCAGCATTGAATGTCACTGTGTCAGTGATTTTAAAGGTGGATTTCATGTGGTTTTGCAAATAATTATTCCTTTCCAGTGGCGGATTACCCAGTACGCTGAGCAGGCTGAAGCCCACAAGCTTTCAAGAGGTCCGTAATTTTCAATTTAGTTGATATAGCAGCTAATCTAAAAACTATAAGTTCCTTGCTATTCACGAGTGTTGCCCTCCGCCGTATAACGCCTACAGACTACAGTCACGCAATGTAACTGCGCAATAATTAAATTAAAAGCAGATATTTCCGCTGACCTTCTTAATAAAAATAAAGGAACGGGAGGAGCGCAAACGTCGACAAGACGTTGAACTGGATTCCAAAATTTCAGAAATTTATGAGCCCTGTTGCATGTACATGTTGGTTGTCGTTGTCTAAATCAGCAGAATTTGCGTGGGAATATCATCATCAAGGCCCGCAAATTTTGCCTACCGCCACTGTTTCTTTCAAAGATAAGTATTGATTATGGACACATTTTAGTGAGTGTAAAAAATCAGTATATTATATTTAGCTAATCATAATGATTATTATTATGAGGTTGAAACCGCAGGGGGCTTAAACTTTGTTTTGACTAAATTGATCTGATTGGGGTGTTTCTTGTCACATGATCGCTTTTATATTCACTATAGTATATTTAAAAGCTCATGTATTTTCCCCGACCAACGCCTTCACTCCAAATTAAACGTCGAAGTTCTGCTTGTATTTTTCAAGTAATCTCTCAATCCCGCGCAGTTGTCGTGTAATTACGTCAAAAAATTTTATCATTTATAACCTGGAGCGAGGGGGATTCGGCAAAATATTACACTCAGCGATAATATTTCCCTCGGAGATATACATCGAAAACTCTGTCCCACTAAGTTAATTGAGAATATAATCATGCTGAATAACTAAGCGAATACGATGTTTAACATATCTTGAAAATTTTTAGCTAAATCAATAAATCTTTTATATGTGAGATATTAACTATAAAATCATGAATTTGAGTGAAGTACCGTAAAAAATCACATTGTCACGTGGTACAAATGTTTTTAATTGGACAATTTGAATTTGAGATATTATACAATCGCAAAGTGTGCCTGGGGTTACTATGGTTTGACATCAAGCAGGATAATATCTGTCGGTGTTGAAATGGTTTAAATGACATGAATTGGTATACAATTAACACGAATTCTTATATTATTGATACTAGAAACTATAAATCTTTTGATTTAAATGCTTTTTTCAAGGACCTTGAGAAACTACCATGGACAATTATAGAAAGCTTTATAGTGATCTAAATGACATGTAGCACACATGGAAAACGTTGTTTAACAGCGTGTTAGACAACCATGCACCAGTCAGGACCAAGCGTGTCAGAAACCTTGGATGTACCTTGGATCACAAGCGATCTTAAAAAAATGATGTTTCGTAGGGACTATCTCAAGACTCGAACTGCAAAAACTCAGTCTGATTCTGCTTGGTCCGAGTACTGTACCATGCGAAATAGAGTAAACTATGAAATAAAAGCAAGCAAAAACAGATATTTCTCACATAATCTTGAGATTAACAAAGGAAATTCGAAAAAAAAACGTGGAAATTGTTGCATAATCTAATGAATAAGCCAACTAAAGCGACTTCAGTCAATGAAATTAAAAAGAAGGATTCAGACATTATAACCGATCGAAAATGTATTGCAGAGACGTTTAAATTAATAACCATTTTGTTGAGGTTGGGCCAGAACTTGTGCGTGATATCCCACAAACGCACATAGATTATATCAATTTTCTAACGCAATCCTCTTGCAATTTTAATTTTTGAACATATTAGTCAGTGGCGCCGCCGCAAATTTTTTTTCCGTAGACAGTCGGACTCCTCATTGATAGTCGGACGCATCACTGATCCGCGTCCAGGCCTCTGCGCGTTATCGATGGATCTCTTCATACCCTGCGTAACCCACTCGTGCACCATATATCCATCACTCCATGTTGTTCGTCTACGACCACGTGTAGAAAGATGAACGATTTGCTTCGCGATGCCATAGACCCATAGTGAATCTACAAACTTGTTTTTCTGGTCCCGAAAATACTCAAGAACTGCTATTGCGAGTTAAAACTATATATCATCCCAATTGAAGAGAATTAGGCCTGTTTCATACGTCGAATTTGATTCAGATTCAAAGCGACCATCAATACCACTTTCCACAAATAGAAGTATTGCCGAATACCCGTCCACTAGTAATACCAGATCTTATTGCCTCGTACACAAACTAATTACTAAAACAATATTACGAATTGATAGTATAAAGGAAATATCATGCAAGATTACTATGCTATATAATATAAAATATTTTCTCCCAGCGACGTACGCTAATTAATCATAATCTGTCAAACACCAATGTCCGGTTGTGAGGAATATATTTACATATTATCTACACCACATTTAAGCTCTCTATACGACTTATACATGATAATTTAATTAATCTATTAATGCTAACTAACTGTCGCCTTAATCTCAAAATAATTACTTGACTGCATATCCACGAATTTGATCTAATGCTAATCTAACTGTATGCCTCGTCCTCAAAATAACTGCTTGACTGCATATCCGCGTATCCACTAGAATATAGAGCTACCTTTAACACTATGACAATTTAATGTATTAATGCTAAGTCACTGACTCACTGTATGCCTCGTAGCTACCTTTACCACCACGAGATTTGAATCTATTAATCTATTATTGTATTATATTCAATAATCTATTGAGAATAAATTATATGAATTAATACATCGTATCCATGATGTTTGAAAGGCATAGCTTAAAAAGTGGACGTGTATTCTGCAAACGCTCCAGAAGATATTTCAATGTTTTTCAGAATTATGGAATCGAAAACAATGAAACTTACAAACAGTTACAAAAGTAAAGAAAAGCAAGTGGGAATGGCGAATATAACTTAATAAAATATGTTAGATGCCATCACCACACAAAATGTGAAACTACAATGTGTGCTGCTCAGATTTTGGCATCTCAACCACGTCCATGCAATACAATCAGACTGTTTTGAAATCAACAATTGCGTGCGCAAGACACACTGGGAAGGCGCATCTAATAAGAAGAGTATCCGCTGAATATTTTGTTTAAGGGCGCGGGTCAATGATGCGTCCGACTATCAATGAGGAGTCCGACTGTCTACGGAAAAAAAATTTGCGGCGCCGCCAGCTCGATAATTGGAGGGGGGGGGGGGCGAATAATCATATCTTCGTGTTCTGCATTATTAACTTCTTTTGAAATCGATTGTCTTTATGGTCTGTGAACACAAATATATGAATATTCGCCCCCCCCCCCAGTTATCGAGCTGGCGGAGCCACTGATATTAGCACTGGTTGCGTAGTGGCTACCATTGCGAAAATTCCTTCAAAAAAGGCATCGGGTCTTGACAACATACCATGTTCTATAATCAAGAATGTTGCAAGAATCATATCTGGCCCTTTGTCAAAGATATTTAATAAATCTCTCTCAAGTGGTGTTTTTCCAGATGAGCTGAAGGATGCAAAAATAACCCCAATTTTCAAAAGCGGAGTGATATCCGAAGTAAACAACTACAGGCCTATTTCTGTTTTATCTGTGATAGTTAAAGTCGTTGAGAAGATTGTCTTTAATAAATTTTATGAATATTTCAGCAGAAATGATCTCTTATCCACGAACCAATCGGGTTTCAGACCTTTTCATTCTACAGTTACAGCCCTTCATACAATATAATGGCTTAGCAACATGGATATAGGGAAAATTGACATAGCCGTCTTCATTTGACCTTAAAAAAGCTTTCGGCACTGCTGATCATGCTTTTCTTGTGAATAAGCTAAATTTGTACCGTTTTTTTGGTAAGGAATTAGACTGGGCCGGTTCGGTCATTCTATCAAATAGAAGCCAAAAATGCTTTATTAACGGTGTATTGTCTAGTCCTCGTACAATGTAATGTGGCGTCCCACAGGGTTCGATATTGGACCTCTTTTCTTTCTCATTTTCATCAACGACTTACTGGGTTGTCTTTCTCATACAATACCGAGTATGTACGCAGACGACACCAGTATTAGTTCAGGCAGTAGAAGTAAATTCTGATTTGGCTAGCATGAACGAATGGCTAAATGCAAATATGCTCAGTCTGAACACCATTAAAACTGAATATATGTTAATTGGTTCAGGACCTAGAATTAATAGATTAACTGCCGAACCCGTTTTATACATAGGAAATACAAGAATGAAAAGAGTTAAGTTTAAAAAAACTCTTGGTGTTATCCTAGATGAAAATCTGGGATGGCACGATCATATAGAAAATATAGCCAAAAAAGTTAAGAGAGGTATTTCCGTTTTAAGAAAAATCCGTGACTCTACCGTATACCTATTGAGGCACTACTGAAAGTTTATCATGCCATTGTCCAGTCACCCTTTGACAATTGTTACTCTGTGTGGGACAATTGCAATAAGGGCCTTAGAGACAAACTTCAGAGATTTCAAAACCGCCTGGAAGGATAATCACACATTCTGGCTGTGAAAGCAGGTCAGCTGAAATAATGGAAAATCTAGGTTAGAAAACGTTAGAGCACCGGTGGGATATAAATAAAGCAGTGTTAATGTTTATAGTGGTTAACAATGCCGCTCCCGTGTATTTGGTTTCCCAGTTTTCAAAAAGAGACGAAGTGCATGATCACGATGTGCGTGGTAGTAAACTTAATTTGACTACTAACTATCCCAAAACCAAAATACCAAACACTAATTTTATGAAAATCAGTCTTGTTTATATATAGTGGAGCCGTTGTCTGGAATTCTCTTGATGAGGCGACTAAAACATGTGATAGCTTGAGTGCCTTTAAGAATAGAATAAATTCAAATACGTAATTATATCTTTACTCTTCTCTAACTTTAACTATATGTGTAAAGATTTCCATATGTTAGTAAACCACCGTTTTTCATACTTTATATATATCATAACTGTTGTAAATATTTATTGTACATGTACATGTACACGGCTCCCAGGAAGAGCATTTTGTAATGATGAGACACCGTGTTTTTAAATAAAGTTCACTAACTAAAGCCTACATGTTTGAGAGAAAATATTACCATATTTACTCGATTACCCCCGATTGAGCGGCTCTGAAATCAATTTTTTTAAAAGAGTGTCGCCCCCGAATGAGCGCCGCACTAAACAGTGTACAAACTTTTCGCCGTCAAAATGGAGACATTTAGTAACAAAGACATCTAAAACTTGTGTATTTCATTGTTAAAATTCTTGTTATAACTCACAACTAAAAGATTTTTTAAAGAGCGCCGCCCCCGATTGAGCGCCGCCCCGAATGTGCGCCGCATCTGAAGCTCTGAAAATTTAATTAAAGAGCGCCGCGGCGCTCAAACGAGTAAATAGTATTAAATACGGTATGTTATAACTGACATTAACCTGAGCCGTGTTGAGCCATTCCGCAGGCATCTTTATACCTCTACAGAGTTGAGGCTAGGGTTTAAAAATCTCACGAGTGCACATATTTTTTTCCGATCACCCTAACCTTGGCGGAGCGGAATTTATTTTTGTCTTGTTATTTCTTGGGTGGAACTAATCGGAAATGACAAAGTAGAATTCCGCTCCGCGCGCCAAATTCCGCCTAAAGGCCGGTTTTCATTGTAGTCGCTTTGCCTGCGCGGGCGAAGCGGACTTTGAAAATCTGCTCACGTGGGCGTGACGGGCGTCAAAAACAATGAACGCTTCGCCCGACTAATGCAGAAATTGCCTTAATGGAAGACTGACTTAATAAGAGATGCCTGCGGAGGAGGAGGCTACTTAAGTGAGTATAGATTAAATCATATTTCGATTATGTACTGCACATTCAACACAGTCGACGTCGAATGCCCATTAAACCACACTAAAATAGCACATGACATAGGGACCTTAAAACCCAGACATAGGAACCTTAGGGCCCTCATTGATACATCACTGAAGAGGTTACCCTACGGAAATAAATGTGATTTGATTTAGGACGGCAACGTAACGACAATGGCTATATATGTTCATGCAATGGATTGTAAACTCTTCTCAAATACAGCGCCCGCGGTCTTCAAACTCATATTCCTATAATGGATAATTGTCTATCGTTTATTTGAAGGAGTTTGTTTTCACCGTCGTCGTCTGTTCTAGATGCTTAGTCTGCTTAGGGTTTCTAATGTCTCGAGTTGCGCGCCTGGCTAGTTAGTGGCCACTTTCAAAACGCGCAACTTGATGAAAGCGCGCAACGAACGCTTGTTGTAACAAAGAAATCGCGTTTTATGCCAATTTATTAGATTGCTTACCCTCATTTTTCTGCTTTGTCAACTTTCGATCCGTCCCCAAGCTTTCCCAGGCAAAACGTAGGTAAAAGTGTGAAACACTATGGTGTCTTACTGCCTTCCCGGCTGGATGCAATATAGATATATTACAGGAAGCAACGGGGCATGTATAAACAGCATGCGTGCAGCATATTCAGAGCATACTTTCAATACCAATCAATGGCATAAGCTCCGTGACACTTGTTTACTTATACTACAGTAAACTCTAAATTCCAGTTGCGCATCAATAGTGAAGTATATTATTTCCTTTAATGATATTTTCATAGTATAGCACATTGAAAAAGGAAATAATAGAATTTGCGCTCTTGACTCGTACATCGAATTAATGGAGTTAATGATTAGTTTGATTGCAAGTTTATTATATAAACAATTGGGAACGAGAGGTGATGATATGTACATGTGTTTCCTCTATTGCTCATTGGGGAATCTAGTTGCCAATTGAGTTAATTGTATTTCTCTTCAATCAGTGATAGTACTGCACAAACCGGTTTCACGGTTTGTGCCAACCAAAACAAACAATTCGGACAATGAAAGGTATTCCTAAACCATTAGTATCAATTTATGTCTCTGTCAAATATTGACTTGCAATGGCAATTAAATAGGTATCTTTCTTTTTTATTTCCACACTGTCACAACACACAAGGGCTCATTGTCTGCCATCGCGGCAGTAGCCTGCCTATAGTGTCGCAGCAGGGCCAAACTCT